GTAATACTTCACATTTACATAGCATTTTACTGTGGTTGAATCTATTTCATATACTCCATATCATTTTATTCCTCACAACAGCCCTGTGAGGTAGGCTGAACAAGTTACATTGTTGTAAAGGCAAGTTACATTGCCTTTATGTAAGGCAATGGAAGCCCAAAGATGATTAAGTGATTATGTAGAGATCACAGATATAGTATATAGTAGAGCTAAGGTGATTAATTTTAAATACTTTAAAAGAAATTAAGCCAAAATGTTTTTTTTATATCTAGAAAATTTAAAGACTAGTGGTTTTTAATACAAATCATTTCAAAACTTTAGCTATTATATAACTTATTGTATGAATTAGTTATAAATTTGATTTTAAAGAGTCTCCCCTAAAAGGCAAATTAGACTCAGTGCTTTGGTATCTTAGAGATTTTGGAAATGTTTTTTAAAAAAAAGCATTCTCATAACCCTTAAGCTCTCCAAAAAGTTCTAACACTAACAAAAATATCTTTTACCAATCATTTAGAATAAACAAGTAGCTCCAAGGCAAAGCAAACACATTCACCTACGGGCTGTCCTATATACTGTGAAATCGTCTACATGTTCATCCCCAAGAACCAACTTATCTTGATTGGGTACCGTTAAGAAAATATACCAATTTAAACTAACACAGCCCCAATGATTACAAATCAAAAGTCAGTATACCTTACACTGACTCAGAATTAACAAACACTGTTTTAATTTGAATGTGAGTAGTCTGAGGAGAAAAGTACTATGGTAATCTCTGATATTTATAAGTCAGTACTAACCTTTATATGGCATACCCAACAATATATTTTCAACAAAAACATATACCAAGTGTGATCCAGTTAACCTCCAAATTACTCAAAAAGCTTATTTACATTAATCAAATATTCCAGGTAACAAAGCTATCATATGTGACATGAGCATCACAAGTATTTGCATAATATGAATACTGTAAGATATACACAAAACTAAAACTATGCTGACTATGAGGTAATCTTTCTGCAATGATTAAGGAAAATTCATGATCACTTATAAATGCTCCAGCACTGGCATTATGAAATATAAATTTAAAATAACTTTATGGTTATTTGGATGCCGAGTAAATTTATGCTGACCATTCACTTCCCTAAAATAATATATTCAGTGTAAAAATAAAATCAAGGAAGAAACTTTTTCAGACACATCTTACATGACTACATACAGGTGAACCATTTTACATGCAGTTAATTATAATTTTTTATAAACTCTTAACATTTACTTTTTAAAATTCCTGACTGATTAGCAAAAAAATTGTTTTTAAGATGCAAACTTTGTCATACCTCTCAAAAGCAGCAAAAGTACTGTATGCACAGAAAATCAAACTTCACAAAGTTAGGAAATCTGAATAGAAAGTATGACTGCCATCCCAGACTTAAATATTTGTTACATGAATTAACCAATGAATGAATACTGATCTTACAAATATGGAATTTTCGCCAAAAGAATTATCATGATGATTTTTAAATACAGTCCTTAGTCTGTTTAGCTCAGATTCACATATTTTACGGAAGTCTACACTGTCCCTTCTAAAATGAATACTTTGAAATAATCATTTTTCATATGTATCCTTTTCCAATTTTCCCCATATGTTTCCAATAGACACTAAGTAACTTAATAATTTTATGTGATTTAAAGTATATGGAGGAAAACTAATCATTCTGCGTAAGTCATGAGATAAGAGTATCTTAGCCTAACTAAATCATTTTATTCTTTGTATCACTGAGGATCAGCACAAAAATTCAAATTATATGTAATACTGCGCATACTTTAATTTCATAGGGGAGCAGATAAAACCAGGCCAGCATGTCCCTTCAGATGGCAGTATGGAGGAGAATGACCGCAGGACAAATGCGTGACGTCCAGCTGCCCAGCAGCGGTCCATGGTTTGTCAGAATAGTACAGATGCCATCGGTGGGACCCTGGACAGACAGGCGCACCTGTAATACTTTCAAATCGTCTGCCTACACCTGGAACATTCAAAGAATTTCTGTATATTAAATTTCTTTGTGCATTTAGTTAGTAAATATTTGGTATGCACATATTTACGAAAAGTTAAAGATGTATGTGACACAGTCAGTCCAAAGAGTCAAAACGAAATGTAAAAAAATTCTTTTTTCTAAAGTGCTTAAGGCAACTCCTTCATTTTTTATCCAGTTTACTACAACTGGTTTGAGATTCAACTGCTAAAAGAGAAAGGCAATACTAAGTGTATATTTTTATAAAACATAATTTTTTACACCTGTGGTATAGCCACTACCATCAACCTCTCATGCATTTCTTTTGTAGAAAGCAATCATGTTTGACCTGTTAAAATAAAGAGTAAAAAAAAAATATTTTAAAGAGTACACCAACTTTTCATGTCTTCAATTGAGCAAAAAATCTCAGTATTTTTTAATTCCAATGCTAATGAGAATGTTATATATTGTGTCAAGTTAAGTTACCATAATTTGAGACTATGTAAATAGGCACTATAGTTGATTATTTTCTAGTTTGAAAATGAGAGTGACGAACTTCCTCCAATTTAACTTCACACAAATAAACTTACATGAATTAAGCTCAAAGCCCACACATTTTGTTTCTGTTTTTTTGGGAGGGGGGAACCTTTAAGAAGAAGCACAGTAACAAAAAAAAAAGAAGCACAGTAAGAGGGAAACCCCAGATTCTTATTTTGAAGTATAACAGTATTACTTCAAATGAATTTTCCAAATGATACTAGAATATTTTATACAAAGGGTTTGAAATGATGGGATGAGCACACACAAGAATCATAGGCACTCCTCCAGCCCCTGACTAGTATTTTCCTTTCCTCATGCCCCTGCAATAGAACTCCTCACCAGTATAACATAATGGTCTCTGGTTTAAATATCAGTTGACAATGCATGGGCCATGGAGCGAGAGCATGCTTAGAGGAAGAAGGCACTTAAAATTAAAAACAGGATATAATTATACAGACATAATAGTAAAAGTTTTTATACAAGAACTTCTGGCTTTTTCAGTGTCATTTTTGTTAAAATATACGTGACTGTTCACATAAAGCAGCTCCACCACTAACTTGCTGCTTTCAGGTTTAACTCTTATGAAAGAGAATTATAACTTCCTGTTTCCTTAGGTCCTGCAATAATCCTGCTGCAGGAAAGAAATTTGAAATTTCTTTCAAAATCTCTAGGAAAAACAAAAATCAAAATTATATTTATTTGGAGAATCAAAACAATATCTACTTGACAATGTCGTACTCTAAACTGCCTTATGGTTTTTAAAATACGTTATCAGACAACAGTATAGATATGACTCTCCTCTGGAAAAATGAATACCCAGTTTGAATAAAACTCATTAGGTTTGTTTTACAAAGAACAAAACATCCCATCAGTAAGCAATAAACTTTAAGAGAGAATGAGCTGTTCCTATCCCACAGGTCTTTCTATAGAAAGTAACTCAAATGTACACAGCAATGGTCACTTCTAGGGAGAAGGTATCATAAGACAATATACTTAAAATATGAATGGAAGAAAGTCAACGTGAGAAAGTAACAGCTTCAAAAATTAAGGAATATACAAACCCAGACCTCTTGAAAATGCTCAAGGAATTCTTAAATACTGTAATGACAACTTCCAATTTGGCTCAAAGAACTTGTTACAAATTTTAATCAACTTAAAAAATATAAATGCTTTGCTCAATAATCATGGGTGTTACTCATGGTTTAATACATCTTCCCTACGTATGGTAAAGATCACTGTATGTTGATTTTTGGAAGCATTATGACCCTTTAGAAAGCAAATGAAGTAGCAAAAGACTGAGAGAAAAATAACCTCTGAATAGGTATGTCTGAAAAATTCATGTGCCAAATAAGTGAGAGATACATAGTTTTTTCAAGACTCTTGTTTTTAACCATTCCATCTTATTAAAAAGCAGATATAGATGACTTCAGTAAAGAATAGTTTTAGGTACCTCCTTTTATAACCTATTCCTTATAGATAAAACTTGAATAGGTAGCGTTTTCTACTTTCTATATAGCTTTAATGATCTTTCACCTTACTAAAAATGTTAAAACTAAGCATAAGTATTACCAGTTATTACACCAAATTCAAGTGGGAATTTTACCAAAACTATTAAAGATTCTATTAAACTAGACAAAAAAATCAGAAAATATAAAGCTTTAAAAAATCTTACCCATTATTCAAAATAATGGAAAGAAGTCTAATTAAACAAGGTAATGTATAAAGAATATCCCTTTGCAGCAGGTAAAAACTGAAATTTGAGCAATTTAAAGCTATTATATCTAGAAACACTTCCTATCCACTCTATTTTGAGTTATAACTGAAAGAGAAATATCACAATATTTGGAAAGAAGAAAATGATACACAATCTAGTTGAAAAACAAAAGACAATAATTTAGCAAACCTCAGCTTATTTATAAAAGGGGAAAAATAAACTACTGTAAGAAAACCTCTCTAGCATGCCCAATCAATTTTTTCAGTTTTTTAGAAAACCATGAAAGACTGTACAGTTTTAAAGCTTCAGTGTAAGAATTAAATAATAGATAGTGATGACATTAAACAAAAGGAACGTATAGAGGAAAGAAGATTTAAATGCTTTTCCCTCCGGCCCTAGAGCTACCACATGTAACTAAACATTTTAGAATAGTCAAAGTAATCTAAGAAACACAAAAATGAGTTTCTATGTAACTACTTAAACACTGCCTTTTTTTCCCATTTCCTCTTCAAAACATCAGTTTCTTGCTCCATGTCTGCTTGCTTCTCTGATATCACACAGCAGGCTCCTGGGACTGTTTCCTACTAAATGCCTGATGGGAACAGATTCCAGACCTTAGAGCAGAAGGTAGCAAAACTGACTTCCACCACTTGTAAACTGCTGTGATTAGTAACTGCATGGAAAAGGCCACCCAATCAAAAAGGAGTGGGGGAAGATAAACATATTCTGAGTAGGCATTACTGAGCAATATTGTTTAAGCTGCTAGTGGAGCCAGTCATTCCATTTTCATTTTTCTGAAGTGTCCTCACAGCACTTGGAACCTGCATCCCAGTACTCAAAGAAAGTCCGCCACACCAAACCTAAGGAAGGACAGAAACACAGCTGCAGTCAGACTTCAGATCAAGGGGAAACTTACAGGATCCTTGTATTTTTCCAACTGAAAGGCAAAAAATCAGTGAACACAAGTGAACATCATCAAATTTCAAACTGAAAACCTTCGTATGTGAACTGAGGGGAAGTAGAAAGGCCAACTCAAGGGTCTTTTAGAACCATATTGGCCAAAGGAAGTCTTATGACAGCAGAACCCACTGGAGCTACACATGAGAGGAAAATAAGGGCTGTAGAAATTTAGAGACTTTGGCTAAATTCATCCATCATTACTGATACTAAAGTTCACAACCAAGAGAAGTACACAAAGACTCATCTTTCTTATCCCAATTACTGCCTTAGATTTTGATAATGGGTTGTGACCTGAAACTATAGGAATCTAACACCCCTCTGTTAACAGAGTAATCCCATTAGCTTCATCCCTAACTTGTTAACAATAAGAACCCTTTTATAATTCTCTAAGATAATCTGAGAAAAACCAAATGGTAATATCCAAATACACTTACCATATTCTATTATCATAAATGTGAATGAGTTTATGAAAGATAAAACTGCTTCACTTGTGTTGAACAAAGCAGCTATCATTCAGTAAGGTAAATGATAACTGATATGGAAAAGAGCCTGGAGAATTAAAATGTGAATATATGAATCATTTAAACTATCATCAACTGCCATGTATATATCAGACAAGCTTAAATTAAAGCAAGGGAGATTCTAGAAATTTTTTATGTATTCCCACCTTCAACTATATCCTAAGTATTCAATATTCACTCAGTAACTATAGTATAGTTACAAAGAATTTGCAGACTGTGAAACGCATGGCTATATAATTAACATTCCAAAATTTTTAAACTTTAAGGTTCAGTAATGATAACTGTTAAAATACAAGAAAATATGGTACAAATGAACCTATCTATGAAACAGAAACAGAGTCCCAGACATAGAGAACAGACTCATGGCTGCCAAGGAGGATGTGATTAGGGAAGGGACAGACTGGGAGGCTGGGGTGAACAGATGCAAACCATTACATAGAGAAGAGATAAACAACAAGATCCTACAGTACAGACAGGGAACTATATCCAATATCCTGGGATAACCATAATGGAAAAAAATATAAAAAAGAGTGTGCAGAGGAATTCCCTGCTGGTCCAGCGGTTAGGACTCAGCGCTTTCACTGCCAGAGCCCAGATGCAACCCCTGGTCAGGGAACTAAGATCCTGCAAACTGTTTGGCCAAGAAAAAAAAAAAAAGTACATGTGTATACACCTGAGTCACTGTGTTGTACAGAAGAAATTAGTACAACACTATAAATCAACTGTATTTCAATAAAAAATAAATTTTAGAAATACAATTATGAAACTATTATTTTATTGAAAATTAAGTGATTTACAGAAATATTTACTCAAAATATCTAGCACAAAAGTGGAAGAGCAGATCAATGGAGAAAGGTTAGTCTCTTTGAGAAAGTGGCACTGGAACATGTGGATATCCATATGCAAAAAAACAGATCTTAAACTATACTCTGTATCACATATAAAAATTAACTCAAAACGGATCCAAGACCTAAATGTAAAACTTTTTAATTATAAAGCTACAAGAAAAAACAAAAGAAAATATCTCTGTGACCTTGAGCTGGGCAAAGCATGACATTAACAAGAATATTTATAGAAGTTCTATTTGTAAATGTCTCCAATGGGAAAGCACTCAAGTAGTCAACTAAATTAGAATGTGTAAATAAATCCTGATACAGGCATACAATGAAAAACTATACATATCTATATAAAACTATGTGAACTACCATACCGTGGAAGAACATGCATAAATCTCACAAACGCATGTTGAGCCCAAAAGATATTGTACGATTCCATTTATACAAAGTTGAAAAGGAGGCAAATGAATTTATGGTATTAAAACTCAAGACAGTAATCACCTTTGGAGGAGGGCCATTAGAGGCTGGAAATGGGCACAATGTTCCACTTCCTGACCAAGATGCTGGTTACAAAAATGAGTGCAGTCCTATGAAAACACTAATCAAACTACATGTTTATGATTTGCAGACTTTTATGTCTTAACACTTACTTCAGTAAAATATACCCAAAACATACAATCACAGACTTAGGAGAGGTAGACTGGGGAAAGGAGGAGGAATATAAGAAAAAAATAACATATTGTGTTTCCCCAAATAGATAGCATAGATATTCTTCTTAAAGTTGCCAAAACAATTATAAATTAGGTACTAACCATGAAACCAGGTAGTACTGGCTGAGTAAATTTTGCCTTAAAGGAATACAACAACTGTTTTGAGTTTGCATCATAGAAAGAAAGTTGACCTAAAGGGAAGGAGAAAAAAAGTCTGATTTATTATTGAAAAAAAAAATTAACATCTAATTAAGTCTAACATATAATCATGCATAAAAGTAATAACCCAATGAATATTTTGGCATTCATCATTTTGTCACTTTGAGGACTGGACTCAGGAATTCTCACTTGAAAATCAGTGGTAAACATGTTTAAGAAAAAGCCCAAATCCACTTTTCTTTCCCTGGTTTTTAAGATCTCCATAGTGCTTTCATAATCTGGCACTATCCAATTATTCAATTATAGACTTCTCTTTTTTACCATTATTTAACAAATGGTTCCCTTAGCCCAGTAAAAACCATGGTTATTTCTTCCTCCTTTTTTTTTTTTTCCACTATAACCAGCCTTTCCACTCAATCCTATCACCATTTAATGTGTACTCTATTAGGCTTTGTCCTCTAATAACCTAAAGCCATACTCATACCCCAAATCTCTAAAATCATGCTATAATTATCACTGCTTCAGTTTTAGTTCTTTTTTAAGGTCTCCTGACAGTCTGTCTTTCAACAGTGACCATGTAACTAAATCACAGTCCTTCTGACCACCTAGCTGTCCAACCTGAGGACACCCTTACAACTGTTATCATTTCTTCAACCTTTTCTCTCATGACTATTCTCTTGGTTTGTTTCTTAATCCTGAGGATATCTTCTGTTTCTTTTCCTCCTATTCTAAATGTAGATGCTTGTCCAGGATCTTTTCTCTCTACAAGGTTCCCATAATAAATCAGCTGCCACTAACAGAGAAGAAAAGAACTAACATTATGTCTACTAGAAAAGAAACTAATATTATGTCTACTATTTATATAAACTACTTCAAAATACCAAGCAACCTATATGTGGTCACAAAGTTAGTGCACAGAAGAACAATAACGCTTAACGGTTCTGTGCAACATTCAGTGGCCATCCTGTGATGCCATATAACTAACATTCAGCTTCAGCTAAGTAATGCCACATGGCTGTCCTGCTGGTATCTCATCTTTCCTCAGGATCCTCTATGCTCTCTACTGTGTTGATGGCATGATCATCCTTTTGATCACACTGGATGGAACCTCAGTCATCTTCAGTTCCTCTTTGTCCCTTCCTCCAATCCATATTTTTAGTACCCAAGTCCTGTGAATTCTACTTTTACACCATCAAATCCATTCTTCTTGATTCCCCACTGCTCAGGCCTCTCTTACCACTAATCACTCAACTTAAAAAGGGTTTACTATGTAAAGAAAGGCAATGCCAAAGAATGCTAAAACTACCACACAATTGTACTCATCTTACACGCTAGTAAAGTAATCCTCAAAATTCTCCAACCAGGCTTCAACAGTATGTGAACCGTGAACTTCCAGATGTTCGAGCTGGTTTTAGAAAAGGCAGAGGAACCAGAGATCAAATTGCCAGTATCTGCTGGATCATCAAAAAAGCAAGAGAGTTCCAGAAGAACATCTATTTCTGCTTTATTAACTATGCCAAAGTCTTTGACTGTGTGGATCGCAACAAACTGTGGAAAATTCTTAGAGATGGGGATACCAGACCACCTGACCTGCCTCTTGAGAAATCTGTACGTAGATCAGGAAGCAACAGTTAGAACTGGACATGGAACAACAGACTGGTTCCAAATAGGAAAAGGTGTACATCAAGGCTATATATTGTCACCCTGCTTATTTAACGTACATGCAGAGTACATCATGAGAAACGCTGGGTGGATGAAGCACAAGCTGGAATCAAGATTGCTGGCAGAAATATCAATAACCTCAGATATGCAGATGACACCATCTTTATGGAAGAAAGCGAAGAACTAATAAAGAGCCTGTTGATGAAAGTGAAAGAGGAGAGTGAAAAAGTTGGCTTAAAACTCAACATCCAGAAAACTAAGATCATGGCATCTGGTCCCATCACTTCCTGGCAAACAGATGGGGAAACAGTGGAAACAGTGGCTGACTTTATTTTTCTGGGCTCCAAAATCACTGCAGATGGTGATTGCAGCTATGAAATTAAAAGATGCTTACTCCTTGGAAAAAAGTTATGATCAACCTAGACAGCATATTAAAAAGCAGAGACATTACTTTGCAAACAAAGGTCCGTCTAGTCAAAGCGATGGTTTCTCCAGTAGTCATGTATGGATGTGAGAGTTGGACTATAAAGAAAGCTGAATGCTGAAGAATTGATGCTTTTGAATTGTGGTGCTGGAGAAGACTCCTGACTCTCAAGAGTCCACGGGACTCTCCCTTAGACTGCACGGAGATCCAAAAGGAAATCAGTACTGAATATTCATTGGAAGGACTGATACTGAAGCTGAAACTCCAATACTTTGGCCACCTGATGCAAAGAACCGACTCATTTGAAAAGACCTTGATGCTGGGGAAGATTGAAGGCGGGAGGAGAAGGGGACGACAGAGGATGAGATGATGGCATCACCGACTGGATGGACATGAATTTGAGTAAGCTTCAGGAGTTGGTGATGGACAGGGAGGCCTGGCGTGCTGCCATCTATGGGGTCGCAAAGAGTCGGACACAACTGAGCGACTGAACTGAACTGATGTAAAGCACTTGCCAAGCAATAAGGACATAACACTTAACAAAACAGACATGGTCTGTCTATATTACTTAAAGACCACCTTGAAAAGTCTTCCTCTGTCAGTATTTTGCAACCTCTTCCACATTTAACCATTTATTCTCTGTCTAAAACTATATTATCATCATATAACCAGTTTTCTAAAATAAACAGAAGCCCCCGTTCAATTACTTAAAAAAGACTAGCTTATTATTATTTTTCAAGGCCCTCAGAATCTGATCCCATCCTACACTACAATTTGTTTCTATACCCTATGCTTTAGGTTAACAATTATACTTCTTACCATCCTTAAGGAATCTTTTTTTTTCTTAAGGAATCTTTAATTATACTTAATCTTTAAGTATCTTTAATTATCTTTAAGGAGTTACAAAGTATGGGAAAAGAGACAGAAGAAGATAAGCAAATGCTATCTTGATAGTTTAAAAAGAAAAAAATGTATTGATATGCCAAGAAGTTTACTATTTATCCTGAGGAAAATTATTTATGAGTCTAAGTGAGTAAATTTTTAAAAATGCAGCAAAACTGACATGTCATCACTAAAAGTAAATCAAACCAAAGTCAATTTTTTTCCTTTTTGAATAACCAGGTTGATACTTCATGGAATTCTTTGGACATAATGTTACTTAAAATTGTAAAACTTGGTTTTATTAGCTTTAAGTGTCAACTTGGAGTGAGGCATTTAGGGAATTACTTTTGTTCCCTACTTCAACAGTACTTCATCAAAGTGTTATATTTAGATGACAGTAGACAAGACATTTATCAATTACCTAACTCAAAAAGCTTAAAGATAAACACCAAGTTAATTTTTAGATGATCTTAAGAGGGAAGATTGGCAAAATCTATTAAGATGAAACTTAAGGACAAATACAGTGTTCTTCATTTGAGTTACGAACAGCAGGGAAACATTTTTACACTGCCTAACATCAAAGGAAAAAGATAATCTGCCAGAACTCAATGGAAAAAGATCTAGTGGATTAGGTGACTACCAGGTCAATACTGACCTACAGTGCTGTTAAGTCCTGTTACTAGAAATCATGCTGCCAAATCACTAATCTACAGTGGTCAGAAGTTGTGTGTTCTACTGTGAGAATCAATCTTTAAAATATATATAGACAGTATACAACCACAGGTGATAATAAAGGTTTGGAAAAATTAAATTAAAAGGAACAGCTAATGGTACAGAGAATGTACAGTCTGGAAAAACAGGGAAAGAGAAGCAATGTTAGTTTTTAAACAAATAAGGATTATAATGTAAATATGAATTAGGGAACATAATTTTGTGTTTCTTCAGATGACAAGACTTAACATCAACAGTCTCAGAAGTTACTGAGAGACAAAATGAGTTGACTTAAGAAAAACCTTCTAATCAAATGTCATCCTGCAGTGGAACAGGCTGCCTCCTAAGACCATCAGCTTCACACAGAAAAGTTCAAGCGCAGGAGTGGCAACTATGCACGGAGACAATGCAGCAAGGAGACCACACTCTGTGGCAAAAGGACTGGGGAACTCCTAAGGTCTAGCTCCCTACCATTCCTAACAGCTGACAAAACAAGGTGAGGGAGGACTTAGAATGGGCATAAGACATTTTAATGCTCGTAACCAAAATTAGCAGCATCTTCTTTTCAGACTTACTTAGTGTATTATAGATGAGTGCCTTTGTGGGCCTGCAAGCAGACATCACACACTCTTTCAGTCAACTATAGACCTGAAGCTATGTTTGTGATCAAATCCTAGTAGGTCAAAACATCCTTGCCACAATACTAGTGGAAATTCTGTACAGATTATTACTATAGGAAAGCATGGGCTTATCTGGTGGCTCAGAAAGAAGAATCCATCTACAATGTGGGAGACCTGGGCTCGATCCCTGGGTTGCCAAGATTCCCTGGAGGAGGACATGGCAACCCACTCCAGTATTCTTGCCTGGAGAATCCCATGGACAGAGATGTCTGTCAAGCTATAGTCCATGGGGTCGCAAAGAGTCAGACATGACTGAGCAGAGTAATGAAACACAATGATGATGAAATGACTCAGGAGAAAATCAGCAAACTTACCCCCATCAAAATCACAAAATACACCTATTCTTTCAGGAACAGCAACATCCAAGGCTTTGACTTTATTATTATGCTTTGCTGCAAATGTGTTCTGTAGCCAGTTGTTCACATGGATACACCAACTAGTGTTTGTCTTTCCTAATTGGTCAAATTTCCCCAAAGTCTTGTATGCTACTCCCACACTGTAGGATTTACAATCCTTCTGGGCCTTGACCTCCCAATAGTGTTGTCCACTTTCAATAGCGGTGTCTCCTACAAAAGATTAGAAGGTAAATTTAACTCTTACCTGTTTCTTATGACTTACAGAGTTTTACGTATATTTGGTCCCACAAAATGGCACCAAGTCTGATTCAGGAGAATAATCATGTTAACACAGACACTAAATGTAGAGTATCTGCTATAATGACTTGTATGTTTACTAACTTCTCTGAATATAAAAGGTTTCAGAACTTTTCTTCCTTATTATCCCCATAAAGGTTATAAATGTGGAGCACTACATAAACTGAAGTAGAATTTAAAACGTTATCAATAAAAACATAATTTCAAAACCTACCAAAGCAACTAGGCTTCAAGAGGGAGAAATTTTGGCAAATATTCATTTAATACACAGGCAGCCACGCCATCTCTGGGTAGAAAGTTCACCCATGTGACTGTGATGCTTTTAATCTGAGATAATGAAGAATTATTATGTTTATCCTACCCAACACTGTGTACGATTCCCCCGTAAAACGATCTCTGCTGCCTCTTACTGCTGGTGGCCTGGAGCCTACAGATGTCCGTTTAGGGGATGGGGTACCACTTCTATATAAACAGGAACAAAAAGAAAAACAAATATTCTATGTTGTACATGTTTCACAAACTAAAATTACAGATAAAAGGAAACTTTGAAGAGCTTTCTAATCATGCTGTGCAAAAAGCAACATTTAATTTTATTTGAATTATTTACTGTTTAACAGAGTTGTCAATTATAACACTTACATGTAAGAAGTCATCAACATAAAGCAAGCTAAAAACACTAATACCATGCAGAGAAAGCAAGGCTTGTACAAATAATACACAGTTGGAATATGAGACAACGCCAAAATGGGACAAGACAAAAGGGGAAAAAGAACCCAAAGGGGGAATAAAGAACTGCAAAAAGACAATGGATTATACATAATTTCTTGCAGTTAAATTTAAATTAAAAGCAAGTCTTATTTTAGGAAAAGAAATGATTTATAATACTTGACATTATTCTGTGCATGGATTTGGGTAATTGCTATTTTTCTTTTTAAGATTTATCATAATCAAACTAAATAACTTTTTTTATTTTCATAAAGTGAAGTTGTTCAGTCACGTCTGACTCTTAGTGACCCTGTGGTCTGTGTCCATGGGATTTTCCAGGCAAGAGTAATAGAATGGGTTGCCATTTCCTTCTCCAGGGGATCTTCCCAACCCAGAGATCAAACCGAGGTCTCCCGCAATGTAGGCAGACGCTTTACCATCTGAGCCCACCAGGGAAGTCTTTTTTATTTTCATAGGCAGTAGGTATTTTTGTTTTGTATCTTTTCTTCTTAAAAAAATAGAAATTACCCAAATTCATGCACAGAGTAATATCAAGTATTATAAAGCATTTCTCCTACTAACATGGACAAGATACAACTTGACCTCCCTTTTTCAAATTATATGATATAGTAAACTGGACGGCATTAAGGCCTTTCATTAACTCCCCAAAACTCAAAACAGATCAAACCTCTAAAGATGTTTAAAAATTAACATTTCAATCATATCAAACTGCTGCATTCATAAAACAAAGAATTTATAACTTACCAACAGTAAAGAAATAAAGGGAAAGCATGGCAAAAAGAAAAACAGACATAAACATTGAGAATGGCAATTTAAATTTCAAAGAAAAGTTAAGTAAGGAAAAGTCTTCCGTTGGAGCATTCTAGAATTCCAACCCTGAATACATTTTTGCAAGAAGTACAACAGTTATTACTGTCTTAAAGCAAACATGATTCCATCCTTTAAAGATACCTCAGTCACTCACTGTCTCAACTAAGGCTCTTTGTTATCTCTAATCTGGGCTGTTTTATCAGCTTCCCAGATGATCTCTGTTACCCAAGTCATTTGTTCACTGTTACAAGATAAACATAACTCTGATTTTCCTACTCTAAAATCTTCAAGTACTTCCTTACTACCTACAAAGAACTTAGCATGGCATTTCAGGTTCTTCTTGATTTCGTCCCACTCCGCTTTTCCGGGTAACTCAGCTGGTAAAAAACCCGCCTGCAATGCAGGAGACCCCTGGGTCAGGAAGATCCCCTGGAGAAGGGATAGGCTACCCACTCCAGTATTCATGAACTTCCCTGGTAGCTCAGATGATAAAGAATCTGCCTGCAATGTGGAAAACCTGGGTTTGATCCCTGGGCTGGGAAAATCCCCTGGAAGAGGGCATGGGAACCCACTCCAGTATTCTTGCCTGCAGAATCCCCATGGACAAAGGAGGCCAGCAACTAAGCACACAGCACCGCTTTTCCAGCCTTCTCACCTCTGGACAGCAATATCCAGCTAAAAGTAGCAGCTCAAGGGTTGCTTAAACTCAGGCAATCTGCTTCAGTGCCTTTTCCCTTCGTCACTCGTTCTCTCACTGCCAAGTCCAAATGCTACACATTCTTCCACTTACTTGAGAACCAACTTAAATACTAATCCACCAACGAAGGTCTCCCAGATCCCACCAGGCTAAGTAACCTTTCTGAGGAGCATACCTCTAGGCCAAAACTCTGTGTATGATCCTTCAGGCCTAACCAGAAGTAATTATAAATGCTTGTTTTCTCCACACCAGACGTGGTACATTGCAAGTTCACTGCAGGTTTTGGAGGGAGTTGCAATCCTTCTTGCAACCCCATGCTCATACACATGTCTGCATTCCTAGATTAGGTACCTGTATTCAGAGGTTCCATTACAGGAGGGGGCCCTGAGCTGAGACCCTTTCCAGCTGTGTCTTCAGAGACCTCCTTAAAGGGGGAAGGGGTCGGGGAGCAGCCTGAAGACACTTTTCTTCACTCTTGTCTCGATACTTTCCCACTCCTAACCTTTCCCATTTCCTTGGCCTCAGGTTCACAAAACAGCAGAAGGCTTTTGTTTGGGTCGCCCTGGGCAGCGAGATGATCCTCAGATACTTACCATCTGCCATCTGCTCTGGTTTACCTAACCCTCACCCTGGGCCATTCTGCTGTGAAAATGGAACACTGGGCGACCCAGCACTCCTTCCTCTGGGCCTCTTACTTATACTGTCACAGTAAGTGAACAAAGTCTTGACTGTTACTTTCAGTTTGGCTCATTGTCCTAATTGACCACTTCAGTAACTGGCAGCTCAGGGAATCTTTCTTCCTCCAAACTCCCTGATTCACACATACTACTAAACACAATCTCTATCTCACATTATTATTATTTATATAGAGAGATACAGCTCATCTACATAAGTTAGGGCAAATTCCTTGAAGGCAGGGACCATGTTTATCCCTATAAACCCCACAACATTCAGTTGACATCTTACAGTAAATAAATATTTATGGAAAGAATAAATGTATGCAACATTCCAGAAGTAGCCCACATACAAAATACTCTTAAAGGGATGAGAGAAAGAGAAATAACATGATGAAATTATAAACATAAGTAGTCTAAAAATCTCCAAATGACCAAACTTCACTGATCCTATCAAATCCAGCAGTATTTTACAATTTCTAATACACCAACTATGAATCACTTCCACCAATAATAAGCAAATAAACTGGAAAAAAGAGAAGACAGTAATTTTGAAAAGAGAACACATTCTAGTTTCTAGGAAAAATATGGGGTATCTTCAAATCAGCACATTATTACTAGTGCAATTTGAAGTGATTCATCTTTCTGGCACTGTCCTAATAATTTCAGTAATGATCCTTTTTTTTTAATCTTTGATACTTTTGAAATTATATGATTATTATAAAACATAGAACACTTTAAACTTGATTCATGTCAAATATTTGTAAAAGCAAAGCTGTAATGTTAGACATATTGAATACAGCACAACAAGAAAGATGCCAGATATAAGTAAATGCAGAAAAAAATCATATAAATGAAATTAATTCAAGAAAGACTTAAAGCAGAGCTTATTGTTTTGTTATCATATACAGTATAATCCAAATAATATGCAGCATAATGCTATATAATGCTGTAAATCCAAAACATAAGCTACCAATACAGACAGTCTACACAAAGCAACATTTTAGCTTATGAAGGCTGCTGCAATGGGTTCTGCTTATTGGTTAAAGAAAAATTTAAGTTATTCAGCCAAGCTAGATAGACTAGATCCTAGAACTAGACAGACATAGATCATCACCTTGAATGTTTCTTCAGTGAAGTAACATGGACACTGTCAGATAAAAATAGGCAACTGTTAAGAGACTGCTTTACAACTTAAATTTAACAGTTTATATAATGAAATTAGATGAAACGTCTGCTGAGGAATTTCTTTTGTTTCACTGTTTAACAGTGATTATACCTTATTTCAGTTTGAGTACAATTCATCTCTGTTAAAAGAGGCCTCCATACTTTAAGACTACCTAAGTCAGTCTGACAATACCACCAGGTCCCAAGCCTGCCTCTTTGGTTCACAAGGTTGCTGACCAGGGGCCTGACACTGGGGTTGTACATGGTAAAAGTTGTCATTCAACGCAGATCTTCAGCTAAAAGAGGTGATCTGTAAGTCTAACATTCAGGAACTATACTAGGAATGTCTCTCTGAGCAGTTCAAATTGCTGTAGATATAACCTGAAAAGAAATGGAATACTGAAATAAAAGATGTAAGAAGAAAAGATTGGGAAAAAAACTAAGAAAAAATAATGAGAAATGTTAATGACAAATTCAAGTACTGGTAAACAATATTGTATTTTTCACTTTGGGGTTAATAATAAGAATTTCATTTCTAGTTACTGTCAAATAAGAATCAATGTACAAGCATTTAATCCAGATAACAGACTTAATAAATGAGCTTACCTGCCCTTGTTCTCTTTTCCTTTAATTTTACTGTCTTGACCTTTTCCTCCAGTAGGATCCCACTCTACACAGGTATCTTCAACTTTCAGGTTCAAATGGGAGGATGAGTTATCCAAATTGAAATTAAGTGCTAACCAAAACAATATTTCATTTTTAATGTAGCACATCTCTGGTTTCTGAAGCATAGCCATCATCATATTATTTTCCAACTCAATAGATTTCAACACTGTATATAAAGTTTCAGTTCTTAACCTTAAGATTTAAAGTCTACAATGATAAAGCCATAATCTACTAATTCCTACTCTATTTCCCATTATTCTCCTCTATATATCTATCCTATACTCCAACCAAATACAGTGTACCTGCATGGTCACTGGTCTTTCTGCTTTTCCTTCTGCTGGAATCTCCATTAGCACAATCGCTTCAATTTCCTATTATCAGAGCATCAGCTGATTGTTACGACTAAACAAAGAGGAGCTAGTAGAATCAAGGATGAGGAGAAAGTGATGTGGTGTAAAAAATTATAGACCCTGGCACACACATATTTTCTCTTTTGCTCTAACACTTAATAATTTCATATTTAAACTCTCAGTAGTTTCAAAAATAAGGCAAGCATGGAAAAATAGGCCATGATGGCAGAAACAAGGGAAATAGCTGAAAGAGCTAAGATGATTTACAAGGCAAAGAACAGATGGAGGAAAAGGGCTACTTAAATGAAAACAAATCAAGAAAATACAACACAAACTACACTTTTCAAATTATTTGGTATCGGGGAACTACCTGTACTATTCATAAGACTTACTTAGAACTGCTAATTTAGGAAATCAGTTTAACATAGTATCACTTGCTCCTTTTAGACACTGAGGGTTAATCATTGAAATATATCAATTTAATATGCAATTTCTGGAATTTGTGATTTAAGCAAGGTGTCATCTACTACACAGTTACCCATAAATCTGCTTATTAGTTGTATTTCCCTCCAAAACTTTAAATTTCTTGTAAGTATTCACTAAAGAAATATTGCTTTACAATACCCCATTTCACTAAAGGATAATACGTGATTTAGCTAGCGGTTCAGTGTGTCTGTGAAATATTCATCATCAAACAACAAAATATTCATATAGAAAACCTAGTGCTTATCTAGTGCATGAAGAATCCTTTTATACTCCACTGCTTTGTAAAGGGCACTTTAATTTCACCTATACATCTGACCTATTGTTCACTGTATTTTAAAACATTCTAAATACAAACTGACTAATCATAACCACTTCCAGAAAATGCCATACTATACGCAAAAAAGTTAATAGCTTTCAGAACATGCATGTAAACAGAAATGAATTTACTGAAAGAAGAAATAATACAGTTCCAGTAAAAATGGAAATAAAATTCCTCAAAAGGGAGGTGACTGAAAAGTTAGGATTATGCAAAACTGAGATCCTGTATTACCAAGAAAGAACTGTCTTGAGAAAACACAGTTAACCTCTATATTAGTTATTAGTTAATACATGTGAGGGCATCTGAATTTTTGAGAGAAACAGTGGATATAACTCAAGGTGCCATCAACACTCAGCTGCTTGTTAAAATCCTAAGGAAGGAAAAAAATCGTAAAGCTATTCCCTATCTTTGATGATGAAGATCAGAGTAGAGTCAGGGTGGCAAAAACAAGTATCATCCCTCAAGCCACTTGAGACCAGACTTATCAAATACCATCGCACCCAAACAGAAAAGTATAGGTTTCAATCTCAGGGGTGCAATCTTTTCTCTCTTCCTTTTTGGACACTGTCCCTTCATGAAGCCTCAACTAAATCACTGAGGCTCTCTAAGTAACAGGGATAATATTTTACTATGAAGTTTAAAAAAAAGATTGGCCTCAAAAGTAAGGCCTCAACTGTTAGTCTTCTCTATCATATAAGCCCTGTAATGAAGCCAGATACTAGTTTCCATATCTTTAAAAGTCTGTGTGAACGAAGTACCAAAAAAAACTAAGGCACAGCTACGTTTCCTGTGCTTACTCTGGGTCGGTGGCTATTTCCGTACTGTAAAATTACATCATAGATACTAACATTTGAGGCTAGAAAGCAACTGGTGATTAGTATCACGTCATTTACCTTTACAAGGAAGAGATAATATACTTTAAAAATTCTGGTCATAAGAAATCATATTATTCATAACTTTTGATAATTTCAATAAAAGAAGAAACTACATACTTTGGAGAGACAGATATTAACAAGGTTCACTATCTTCTATACCACGCACCACAAGTGGCAGGACTCAACTATTTAATCTCCATCTCTCTCTCCCTTTCCCTCCAACTCTCTGCTCATACATTTATTTCTAAGGGTTGGTCAAAAGGGCTACAACAAGTCAAAAAATTAGTAAACAACTGTTTACTATGGTACTTTAAAAAACCTGACTTTTCTCTGGAGCTCCTGCTGTCATTAGTAGCCACTCCAGTGGTAGGGAATAATCTTAGAAAACCTGTGACCCTCAGCTTAAGAGATAATTTTACTGAATCTCCCAGAAGGTCCTAGAAGGTTCAGTGGGCCTCAGGGTTGAGTATCAGTCTACTCCAAACCCAGGAGGTTTACCCCATAGTGAGAACTGCTCAAAAGGACTAGAATCAACTTAGTCTTGCCCTGCAAACCCTAAGACCAAGAATTTGACTACTTAAAATCTAGACACTGCTAATGGGAACAGACAGTCCAGCTCCAAAGAAACTACAGGCCTTATACTCATTTTCCTGAATCTACAGAATTTGCATGGAAATGTACAATTCACCACATTTAGGCCCAAGTTTGGTCACTAAATATTAAAGGAAAAGGAACAAAACAAATAAAAAAAGATAAAATATTCTTGGAGGAGGAGGATATTAATAATAATGCAAATTTACCTGACAAGGGCTGAAAACAGTTCAAATTATACAGAAAAGATTATCTGCCTGTAAATATGACTTTATTTTGAAATGGTATTAACAAGGATTCTAAGTAACTGAATTTCTTGGCTAAATTATCTGTAGTTCTCAAATAAAAACATTTGCTAATTCAAATTACTTTGACTTAGTTTTGTTTTGCTTTTTTAATCTTTCTAATGCAGTCATATCCTTATGAGTTTAACCTGTCAATAACTTATGAACTTCTTGTTTTATTCTAAAATGACATTTTTATACCAGCCTCCAAGTCATATCAAACTTCTAGCATTCAAACCTATTCAAATGCTATGTGAACTGGAGGTCAGTGAAACACTCAAAGGTCCAACTATCTCACAACAATGGGTAGACACTGATTCTGGAAGTAAACTGAGTCAGTTATCATCTCACAACTGGAAAGATCTATAACATTATGGCCTTCAAATTGGTAAATACCTGAAAAATCTTCTGCGTTTAAATACGTTACTCTTTGTTGTTGTTCAGTCACTAAGTCATCTCTGACTCTTTGCAACCCAGACTGCAGCACACCAGGCTCCCCTATCATTCACTATCTCCTGGAGTTTGTTCAAATTTATGTACATTGAGTTCTAATAAATTCAAATTTTTCTGAGAGACTAGAAGCACTTACTTACATTCCTGGCCCACAATAAAGGCAGGCAGATAACTTGTAAATAAGATTCTTGTTCACACCTTTCCAAGCTAGTTTTAGGGATCATGGGTAAGTTATTTAACATATTTGAGCTTCCCTTTCTTCACCTACAAAATGGTTATCAATACCATCTATTCTACTGATCCCTCAGGATGGTTTCAATGATCAAATAAAAGACTTGTTAGAGGGCTTTGTAAACATTAACAAACTATATAAATAATAATTTCTACAATAAGATTTATGAAAACAAAAACAACTTGAACTAAACTGAATACACACTTCCCTATTATTGAGACATAATCCATTCTCTGGGCAAACCTCAGCAATGGAATGTAATTATACTAGACTGAAATTTGTAAACTAAGTACCCATGGGAGAACATAACACCATCACTGGTCTATTTCACGCATCTGAAAATGAAAGTCACTGTCGCGTCGAACTATTTGCAACCCCATGGACTGTAGCCTACTGGGCTCCCCTGTCCATGGGATTCTCCAGGCAAGAATACTGGAGTAGGTTGCCATTTCCTTCTCCAGGGGATTTGATTCCTGGGTCTCCTGCATTGCAAGCAGAAGTTTTACTGTCTGAGCTATCAGGGAAGCCCGACTCATCTGAATGCTAGGGTAAAAGAGAAACCAATGAAATCCACTACTGTAGTCCTAATTTTCCCATCTTAAAATACCTCCTGATGAGAATTCTGTGTGTGGGTGGGTGGGTGGGGGGCGCCGGTATGAAGGTGGGGAAGAAAGGCAAGTATACACGAAATGTTTCCTATTACAAAGTGTTGAACAGCTTCACATGTTAAGGTCTGTTTCGAGGTGAACAACAGCTATTGATCTTACCTTTGGTCTCCAGAGTCACTGGATCAGAAAACTCTCCAGCCACAGCCTTGTTACATGCTCGCACTCTAAAATTCATGTACTTTGAATCAAATTTTAAACCTGAAAAAAATGAAAAACAGCCTTGAGATATGAAAAGTGAAGAACTCTACTCCAAAAGTATGAGTATGAACCTTCAAACAGCCTTTTTTCCCTCCTTGGAACTATCTTTTTACTCAGGAAGAGTACAAATTTATGTTAACAGAGTGATAATGCCTGAAATAAAGGGAATCATGATTTATCTATTATTTTCTTCAAAATACCTGAATTATGCAGTTTATCACTGGGCTTTTTAAACTTAGCAACAAAAAAATATTCTCAAGCCACATTATAAGTAAGGTTTCATTCATGGAGAGATGCTATGATTTAAAACAACATACTCAATTTCTGGAATGTAGCTAAAGAATTTTTATATTTTTATATTTCACAAGTAAAAAATGAATTTAAAGAGAAAGTGAAGCATAAGGATTAATAGGAAAATTCTGAAGTTAGTCAGGACCAGACTAACATCTCAATCCAAAAATTACTAGCTATGGGGCATTCAACAACTTGATAGAGCCACAGTTGTATATATGTAAAATGGAAAAGGAAAAATCCACCTCACAACTGTAAGGACTAACTGAAATGTACTGTACTTATAAAATCAGATGTCCTGTGAACTTCAGTCCAGATCCTGACAAATGTTAGGTTCTCAGTAATGGTAACGATACTAATGTTATACTGCACACGTAAAACAAACATTAAAAATCTCAGGCAACAGCCAGCCCATTCAAATACCCTAACTCCCCCATATGTAGCGGTATGTTTTTAAAGACTACCAAAAGGCCAACACACAAATTTTCTAGTATCAAGTCACAGCTCAACTTTAAGTATTACCATAAAGGTAATAATAAAAAGGTAAACGCAAATACTTATAGTATCATTGAAACGTGGAGTACTGCATACATCTAGAAAACTGACAGCTTTCTTATTGTTAGAAAACTAAGGTAAAAAATTAAATTTTATTGAGACAGTGTTTACAATATCCCTTCACATATTGTTTTATCAGAGTGCAAATATCCAGAACTAATTAAAATGAAGGTTTTCAAAAAAATAAAAAATAAAATGAAGGTTTTCTTGATATTTTAAGAGAAATTCATTTCTATAACAAATATACAAAAACGTCAGCTTGGCTAAAGAAACCGAATAACTTGATCTTTTAATGTAAGTCAAAAATTCATCAATTTTATCCGTTTTCTGAGAATGAGATTCATGAAATATATATGTGTATATATATATATACACATCTTACCTGATAGTGTATATTCAGTACCCTTAATATTATCAACTATCTCCCAGCATCGCTCATCCTTTACACGTGGAAGTCCATCAAAATTCGTTTTCCTATATTCCATTATAAAATGATCAATCTTATTATCTTCTTCTGGCATTCTCCAAGCTACTGTCACAGAGTTGTCGGCCACCAAACATTCTACTGGATCTATCTCTGGAGCTTTCGGGACTGAAGCAAAAAAAAAAAAAAGCTCATTTTTCACTATAATACTAATCCAATATTTATGTCTGTCATTCAAATAATGCTTTTTCATGTTGCTTTTGAACTGAGAAATTGAATCAGGCTAAGAGAAGGGATATCTTATAAATGCAAAATAGCCATTTTTCAAAGCTGTTTTAAAATTCATATTTCAAAGTTTTTCATAGCTGTATTCAAAGTATATTAAAAACACAGTTGGCAAAAAGCAATTCAAACAGGCTAAGAATAAAGAATCGAGAATTATTTGCTACTTCTCAACACACACATCTAATCTGCTATTTCAAACAGCTGGAGACCATAAATTAAATTACTGCTGACAAAATAAAACAACTTGCTTTGAATCCAATGATTAAAATAATTCAAAATATTTTCAATGTATTTTAAAAATCTTGTTTATAGAGAAACTGTAATTTCTCAACACTGAACAAAAATGGAAACTGCAACCCCATAAAATATTTAAGAATTTTTAAATGTTTCTCCAGAGTTCCATGATTCATGAAAACAAAATGCAATAAATGAGTCACAGTTAACATGTATGAAAATTAATCAATTTCTTTTCCATAAAAGAGGTTTTCCATAGCTCCTCAACATTAACAGATGTTCCATTTAAATAGCAGGCTAACTAGGGAACATGGTCCTCCAGTGATACAGATGTGTCTGAAATATGTAAAACTGTGCCAGTATTGTATTACACACTTGTCGCTAAATAAAGCTTTGAAATATTTACCCCAAGTATGTAAGGCTGGTTCAACATTATAAATTTAACTAATTTAAACTATTACATCAGTAGAAGAAAATTCAAATGATCAGAAGAAAAATTATATGATGTGAATCAATAGAGGGAGGAAAAAATATTTTACAAAATCCAACATTTATTCATGACAAAAGCTCTCAGTAAACTAGGGAACTTTGCCTGATAAAGAATATCTACAAAAAAAAAAAAAAGAACCCAACAGTTAACATCAGGGTTGAGAAACTAGACACCTTTCCCCTAAAGCAATGACGTCCCCTCTCTCCACTCCGATTCAACACTGTATTGGAAGTTCCAGTTAATGCTATAAGACAAGGAAAAGAAGTAAAAGATATGCAAGTTAGGAAACAAGAAATAAAACTGTCTTTGTAGATGACATGACTGTCTATGTAGAAAATTCCAAAGAATCAACAGAAAAATTCCTGGAAAGAACAATCTTATAGCAAGGCTGCAGGATAGAAGGGATGAACAGGCAGAGTGCAGGGGAATTTTAGGGCAGTGAAACTACTTTGTATGATAATGTAGTGGTGGAGACATGATATTACACATTTACCAAACCCACAGAACTGTGTAACAGAGTGAACTCTAATGTGAACTACGAACTTCATTTAATAATAATTTTTTAATATATTATAGACATTAGTCTATTACTGGAACATAAGCAATACAGACTACTATTCATTTCTATGGGAAGACATCATGGGCATTCATAAATTTAATATGCTGTGCCCTGACTGCATATGAGGAAGTATAAAGGCCTGTGGCATGTAGTAATTTTGTAATTTTGCTGAGTTAAAACCTGCACTGAAGTCCTAAGAGGCTTGTATAAATAAAATACCACTTAATCTGTAAGTGGGTCCAGCTAACTCCCCACAAATCTATGTCTCAAATTCAGCTATTAAAATCACTACAATAAGAATGTACTGGCAAGAAGATTCTTCCTTCTTATGAGTAATGGCCCCCAAAGAAAGCAAACTTGGCAGGTAAAAGAAAATGTAGATATTTTAATTTAAATTTTACTTAATTATTTCTTATTTTAATAAATATTATTTCATGTATATTTAATTTATATATTTTTATATAAATACATTTGTTTTTATTTTATATTTATCTAATTAAATATTTATTAACATTATTAATAAATTACTGATTTATTTGTTTAAATTTAAGAGTGGTATTATTAAAAAGCAGAGGCATTACTTTGCCAACAAAGGTTCATCTAGTCAAAGCTATGGTTCTTCCAGTAGTCATGTATGGATGTGAGAGTTGGACTATAAAGAAAGCTGAGCACCAAAGAATTGATGCTTCTGAACTGTGGTGTTGGAGAAGACTCTTAAGAGTCCCTTGACAGCAAGGAGATCCAACCAGTCCATCCTAAAAGAAATCAGTCCTGAATATTCATTGGAAGGACGAATACTGAAGCTGAAACTCGAATACTTTGGCCACCTGACGCAAAGAACTGACTCATCTGAAAAAACCCTGATGCTGGGAAAGACTGAAGGCGGGAGGAGAAGGGGATGACAGAGGATGAGATGGTTGGATGGCATCACTGTCTCAATAGACATGAGTTTGAAAAAACCCTGATGCTGGGAAAGACTGAAGGTGGGAGGAGAAGGGGATGACAGAGGATGAGATGGTTGGATGGCATCACTGTCTCAATGGACGGGAGTTGGTGATGGACAGGGAGGCCTGGCATGCTGCAGTCTATGGGGTCACAAAGAATCAGACAGGACTGAACGACTGAACTGAACTGAAAAGTGGTATGTCAAATATTCCATAATAACCTACATGGGAAAAGAGCCTGAAAAAATGGATATATGTATATGTATGACTGAGTCACTGTGGTGTATGCCTGAAACCACACAACACTGTAAACCAACTATACTTCAATATAAAATAAAAATTAAATTGAAAAAAGCCTCATATGTCAAATTAAAAGTGACTTGAATCTAATGCAGGGGAAGTTCACCCAATATCCTATATAGAAGTAAGAGAAGAATTTCAACAAATGTGGAATAAAGTTCAGGGAAAAATGAAAGGTGGTAAACTTGTAATATAAAAATATTAGGGAACGAAGAACTCTCTTAAAATGAGAATGGAAAGCAATTCACAGCAACTTCTATAAAGCAACAAATTGTATGGACACTAGTGTAAGAATTTTACTAAGGTTTTTCTCTGCAGGAGAATGTAAAAGAATAACTGAGCAATGTAAAAGAACACTGTCACAAACATGTTTCTCTTCTTGGCTGCCAAAGCTCAGAAAGGAGGATATAAACTCTAAGTTTCAATGAATGAATAATGGCTTAGCGTAGAAGAAAATGATTATAATTATTATCATCCATCATTATCACTTCCAATTTTCAGACTCAGGTAAGTCCACACCTCGTTACTACACATAATGCAATGTCGAGTTGATTTGTGTAGTGTTTACAGAATGAACTATTAAGGGATGAAGGTATTCATTTTTAAGTTTATCCGACTGCATCTTACAGGAAATTTTTATGCTATAGCAGAATATAAGAAATTAGTGATATAAGTTCACTTTTCATAAATTTTAACAACCTATTATACCTTCCTTCAGGATGAAACTTCTCCACAAAAAGATTTCTTTCTTTTTATTACACCTCATTCCTTCAGACTGTCTTAAGAGTTTGCAAAAGAGGAAATCCTAACTGTTTATGCAATCTACTTGACTGTACAGCAGATATGGCCTAGGTTTGTTAAGCCATCACTGAAAATCCAGAGAAGGAAAGTAATGGTGAGAAGATTGCTTTTTCAGTAGCTTTTTTTAAATCAAAAACTACTACTCATGCATATATTTATATATCCACCACTCCTGACTCTCTTTCTAAATTTAGAAACAGTGTGAATAAAAATATAATGGTTAGCAATTCTGAGAGGACAATTTACAGGTAGGCACCCACTGATAAGTACGTATACTTTCTTCTTCTACAATTATGATTTCTTCTCTCATCTTTTCCTTCTCTGAACTCCTCTAGAACTTCTGATCTATACCATACAAGTTAATACTTCACTTATGTTACCATAATTAGTTCCACTATAGTTTCTTAACTACTAAACTTTGTCTTTTCAATCATATTCTAAAGTCCTGGACCAAATTCTCAGAGAAGAAAGGTTTCATATGATTAACATTCTCTATCAAAAATAGCTACCCTCCAAGAACTGTAGGCCTGTAAGTAAAACGCTTCACTTTCCAGAGATTTCCTAATCACCATGTACAAACTGTTTTAGCTATGAACTTAATTAACACTACTTGACGCTAGTAAAAAGAGAATAATAACCAAAAGGCCCTTAATTGGCTCTTTCACACACGTGAACAATAATAATAAAGTGGGACTCAATTTTAAATGGTTTCAACTGCTGGAATATCATCATACTAATACTCTAATAAACCAATGTTGACACATTATTATTATAAAACTCCATCTGAACCAGAAGCCACCACAACAATGGTAATAATAACAATCAACATTCATTAGGTGTTAACTATGTGCCAGGTACTCTTTCAAGTGCTTTAGATGTCTCAATTCACTTAATCTTTATAAAAATCCTAGAAGGATAACATCATATTTTAAAGATGAAGAAAATGAGGTGAAGTTAAATAATTTGTTGAGGCTATACAGCAAATAAAGAGACAGCCAGAATTCAAATCTAGGAAGTTTGGCCCTAAGACTCAGCGTTAACCATTAACGGTACATTGCTTCTCTTTGCCAAACTAGCGATAAAATGTATCCTGTACTAGGATTCTGAAACTGGAATTTTTACTGTCAGTAAAATAATTCTCTAAAAATAAAGACTAGCAAATTCAGTTATTCCTTAGCTGAAGGAAGAAAAAAAAAATCACACTATATTTCCTTAATATTTAAATTCTAATGGTCATTACAAAAAAATCTTGAAAGAAAAAAAGAGGTTTTATACATAACTTTATATGTAATATATGTACTAACTTACCTGGCAAAAACTTCAAAGTTTGCAATATCTGTCTTTCCTGAGAAAAATCCACCATTAAATGAGTCATGTTGTCACTGACCTTTGGTTTCAAAGAAAGGCGAAAGGCTGAAGCCATTGTTACTCTATAGCAAACACAGACATAAACATTCTTTTAAAAATAAAAGAATGGGAAGTATCACATCATATTTAATTTATAAAGTGACAGACAGAACTTATTTCTCCACTCTAGTGTTTTCTGAAGCTATTGACAACGATAACAAAACTAAATAGAAATTTGCTCTTATAGCTTTTGAAAATTAACTTTAAAAAGTGTAAAATGTTTTTAAATTTAAAGACATTTAAATAATCTTTAAAGAACTTTCCTCCAGCCAGTTTTATAAAACTTCATAAAAACACAAAGGACTCAAGAGACAAATATCCAAGACAAATCATCTTTAACAGACTCAACAGTCATCTGAATCTCTGTAAATTCAGTCTGACTTCCTGATGCCAGCCTCACTCCTTTTCATATGCCAAATAATGAACTGTAAATACACCCTGAATCACACATTCTGCCTAGTCATCACAGCTATCCCACGTGTCCTTAAATAAAAGTAAAGTACACTGGCCAAATACTGTATTGTTTTGTAGGTGCTAAAGAAAGGCTATGGATGAGGAAGGAGAGAAGTGAAATCACAATTCTGAATACTATGCTAGAAGCTATCACTATGATGTATTAACATCAGCTGAATGCAAGGAGACAAGAAGAAACAGCCCTGTGAAACCATATGCCATGGAAATAGTAGGAACTCAATCAATATATTTTAGATGAATGTAGTATACAAAACAAAAAAGAAAGAAGCCATACCAGACCTCATTTTACCTAAAGTAAGGGGAAATCGTTTTGTCAATCAAAACTAGAGATTAAAAGAAGTTCCCATACTCTATTGTTATTTTATATCAAACTTCAATTTTTCATATTATAGTAGTTATCTACATATATCACAAAGTAATTACCCTTATTATCTTTGGTCAAAGAATGACACCAAAATACTATTCATGACCACTGTCCTCCTAGAACAAAATCTGGGAGAGGAAGAAAACAGAGTTACAGGAACAAAAGGAATACCAGGCCTAGTCATTCAGATCTACCAAACTACCCTAAAGATCAATGGTATGAAAGGTATTAAACATGTTGCTGTATTCAGTTACTTTACTAGGTAACTAGGAAAGTAATCACTTTAGTAGTAACAAAGAGTGAACAATAGTTGATCTATTTATCAAGAAGAAAATGCTATGAAAAGATCACTAATTATTAGAGAATTGTAAATCAAAACTACAGTGAGGCACCACACCTGACAATGGAAGAGCCATCATTAAAAAAGTCTACAAATAATAAATGGTGCAGAGAGTGTGGAGAAAAGAGAACCATCCTACACTGTTGGTGAGAATGTAAACTGTTGCAGCCACTATGGAGAACAGTACAGAAATTCCTCAGAAAACTAAAAACAGAGTTCCCATATAATCCAGCAATCTCACTCCCAGGCATATATCTGGACAAACTATAATTCAGAAAGATACACATACTGCATGTTCATAACAGCACTATTCGCAATAGCCAAGTCACGAGACAACCTAAAAGTCCATAGACAGATGAATGGAAAAAGAAGATGTGGTTCATATATACCATGGAATAATACGCAGCCATAAAAAAGAATGAAATAATGCCATTTGCAGCAACATGAGTGCAACCAGAGATTATGCTTAGTGAAGTCAGAAAGAAAGAGACAAATACCAGATGATACCACCTATATGTAGCACTTAAAAAAAAGACACAAATGAACTTATCTACAAAACAAAAAGTGACACACAGACATAGAGAGACAGACTTGGGGTTGGCAAGGGGAAGGGGAAGTTGAGGAGGGACAGAGTGGGAATTTGGAGTTAGCAGATGCAAACTCGCACATGAATTTGAGCAAACTTTGGGAGATGTGGAAGACAGAGGAGTCGGGCATGCTGCCGTCCATGGGATTGTAAAGAGTTGGGTATAACTTAGCAAGAACAAGATGCAAACTATAGAGAGAGAGAAAATGGATAAACAACAAGGTCCCACTGTAAAGCACAGGAACTATATTCAACATCCTGTGATAAGCCATAATGGAAAAGAATATAAAAAAGAATGTATATATGTGCAACTGAGTCACTGTGCTGGTCAGCAGAAACTAACACATTATAAACAATTACACTTCAATTTTTTCTAAAAAAAGGAGGGATTGTACTATATTGAAAAACAATTTATGGAGATAGGAACTCACACTTAACTGAATGCCAAGTACAATGCTGAGTACTTCACACATTATTACTTTAAGATCTTGGTTCTCAATATACAATGTCAGATTATATCAATAAGAAGTTAGGAACAAAGGCTGTATGTTCTTTCCAGCTCCAAGTATCTTTTAAATTAAAGACTTCTTTTTTTTTAAGTTTAGTTTTAGTTGAAGGATAATTGCTTTGTTACAATATTGTGTTGGTTTTTGCCATAGATCAACAATAATCAGCCATATGTATATATATGTCCCCCTTCCTCTTGAACCTCCCTTCCACCTCCCACCACAGATTTAAAGATTTCTTAAAGAGCTATATTCAGACAGGTACTTAGTAAATAGCCACTGAATCAATGAACAGGTATGAACTTGGTTGCTTCTAAACATGGGGATTTAAAAATTTGTTGAAAACTGTTGAGAAAAATATGTGAGAGTATTTTAAGGAATTTAAACCTGAAACTTTATCTATAAAACTTGATTTAATCATAATGGTCTCTCCTGTAATAAATCATAATGGAAAATAATATTTTAAAATGTATATATGTATAACTGAATTACTGTGCTGTACAACAGAAATTAGCACAACATTGTAAACCAACTATACTTCAATTTAAAACGTATCAAAAACAAAACAACAAATAAAAGCATAGCATGTACACTTTTCAAGATAAATCTGGGCCATAAAATCACTATGGCCTCAAAGGGAAAAAATACTCTCTAAAAACACATTAAAAAAGCTTATCAAAGCCTAAAAACAAGTTATTTTCAAGACAATGAAAATTTCAGCCTCCACAAATAAAGTGAGATGTACAGCTATGCAATAATTTTCCAAAAGACTGAACTTATTTTTATTTTATTTTTTTTGAACTTATTTTTAAACTGAGTATATTTAGACAGTTATGCTTCAAAGTCCAAACCCACTACCTAAAATCCATATATATTCTCTACATTACAAGATCCGTGTTGTTAGGGATGGTTTAATTCACCTGGCCTTTCTTCGTTCATTTTTAATAGTACAAGCTGAATACAAAGATCTCTTCTTCCTAGTTTTATTTTTGCAAAGAGATAACTGCAAGATAGTAAGAATGAACACAATTTTTTCAAACTACCTACTACATTAACTTGACTCTCTCTTTCATGATCCCTTTCGTTCAAGAACTAGTAACTCTTCACAGTATACCTCACCTCAATTAATCATCTTCCAACCTGACTAAGCACTTGGAAGCCTATACTAGTGATTTGTAAAGTTCTAAAAATCTATGTATTATCTTCTCATCATTTCTTTAGGTTTTCCTGTCACTCCTGCCATTTCTTCTGTATAATATCTATCACAGAATGTAAGTACTGAGTTCTCATAGATACTTTATTTTTCGATTGCCTGCTCAGCTATGTTACGCATTCCTTAAATACCACTTCTGCTCTCTTATAAGGAAGTAATCCTTTCTTCCCTTAATGAAAATAATTATTTTATTATGACTATATGTTTATTTTTGTACTAAAAATACCAATATTGATTTCTAGAAGCTTGCTTCCTGGAAAAGCACATAAAAACTGTATCAGAGAAACCTGAACATTATGAAGCTAAAAAGTCCAATTTAAAAAAATTAAGCCAAGACTCAGAAATGTTCCTTACACAGGAAGTACAAACTTTGCAGGTAGCAAAGAAAAAACATATACTTTGAAAAACAACAGCAACAACAAGAACAAAAAAATGGAGCTTGCTCTGGCAGAAAAAAAGGAACTTTGACTCCTTTGAGATCACCTGGATACTCTGGGTACTGATGAAATGAATCCAAGAGGTTGGTTTTGGGCAAAGAAATCTAGACTCACTGAAGAATATTCAGCAATGAACACTGATCATAAAATTAAATTCTGACAAATCAGGACAAAGAGAAAGTCAGGTGTAAGCACAGATTCTGGGAGGCACAGAACGATAGGGATTCCCAGAACAGGAACGAGAGAAGATTTTGCAAGGTTTTTCTCAAAAGTCTTTGGGCAGCCTAAAACGTGATTAGGAAGTGACTTCTAATCCAGAAAATCAGGGACCAAAGGAGGATTTAATGGAGGAGGTGGTGAAATGAAGGAATAATCTAGCCACAGTAGAAGATGAATTACTTATAGCAAAGTCAAGCAGACACAACCCAAACCTTCCCCCAAAAACTGACCTACCTACCATCCATTCCCCATACAGCCAATACTTTTCACCTTAAACTCTCATAGTCTCACTATCGGGATTTATGAGAATAACCCATGTCTTTATACTCTGATATAAAATATACAAAAAATACTGTACAGCACAGGAAACTCAATACTCTGTAATGACCTATTTGGGAAAAGAATCTAAAAAAAGAACAGACATATGTACATATATAACTGATCCACTTTGCTACATAGCAGAACAAAACATTAAGTCAACTAAACTTCGATAAAAATTAATTTAAAAATGAAATAAAACATTCAAAAAATAGAAGAATTATTTGTGCTAAGAATGCTATGAAAGTCAATGTGAATCTTGCCTCCAGTCAAATAAAAGGCCACGAGAAAAACACAAGTCTTCAGCCAAGATTAACAACAGCAACACTGGTTTTCACACAATATATAAATAATAATTTTGTGACTTATCTGATGAATAATTTCACCTAGGACTCAGAGTGGTGCTTTGAAGAGCTATGCCTTTCAGAGAATTTCATAATCCTCAAATGAAAAAAGCTTAAAAATGACAATCTCACTATAGTCAATGCTCAGTGACTAGCCAGGCAGATCAAAACCATCCCTTCTGTGATAACCCAATCCAAAACTGCCAACAGCTCCTTTAGCCCTCTAGTATATTCTTACAAGTACTAAATTACCTTTCCTAATACTGGCCCTATGAATGGTAAAGACCTTTAAGCCAAAGTCTGTCATCATTTTCTTTTTCTCTTCCCACCAACTAGACAGCAGTGGCATTAGAAATAGAAAGAGATGGCACCAGGAACAGGATAGAATAAGAATACAAAGATATTAAATAGGAGAGCAGTGAAGCAGGAGTGCTTTAGCTCTTGAGGAACAATATAATGCTGTAACTTTTCATAAAATAAGACATGCTTATAAAATTTAACAACAAAATATGCATTCCAGGAATATTTTTTTACATTATTCAAAATGGTTTCCCATCTACTAGCATAGCTAATTAAGGACTATACTAAAACTACATTATATCAGAAATGAAATTCTTCTGAAAGCACATAATTGTCCAAAACTATATTTTTAAAAAGTCTTGCTGATATGTTATTTATTCTAGAATATAGGCAGAAGATGCTTTTTCTTTTTTTCTGTACTTGGCCATTGGATATTTTTAACTAACGAGATTCTAATAAGAAACTGAATTTCATTTCTGACTTCAATGTTGCTATTTTAAAACAATGTAGGTTTTGTATCATACCTATCCTTGATCTGTCTGGCAGCCTTGGAGCAAATCAGGGAGAAGAGAAAGAAGGCAGTTAGTGCTCTTCATGCAAGTTTCACTGGCAGTGACATGCAAGAAAAGTTAGGATAAAATCCCTGGAACAGATTAGTTCATTTTCACCAAAACAAATTTCCTATAATTTGTACAGTTCATGTCAGCTTGCATAATATGATGTTAGAACTATAGAAAATCTGGTCCCCATATAAATATATATCACCTTAAAATAAGGAGGGAAATTAAACACTTCAAACTAATTTCAGATGACTGTAAATTTTTTTTCTTACCTTAAGATTATCAACACACACCTCCACTTTCATTCAGTCTGATACTCTTCAACTAGAACACTCAATCTCCTTCATGGGGCACACATTTCTATGCATTCTGATGGTTTTCTTATATATTTCAAATCTGCTCTCCAAATTTTCTTCAGAGATCTCTTTCACCACTTCATAATGGTTGTTCCAAGTTTTCTCTATTTGCCTCCACCTGGGCAAGGACTTTGTATTCTTAGAGCTTGCCTGCTAACATATAAAACTAGGCTGCAGGTCTACAACCCTTTACCCCAAACAATGAAGCTGTAATGGCAAAAATTCAGACAAGGAGAAACCAAAGAAACACTTGCAGCAATGGGTCTTTCCCTAAGATGACTTCATAAAAGCTGCCAACTTAAACCTATACTACTTTAAGCTATCTTTTTTTCTTCTTTTGAGAGTTCTAGCACAAATTTAGGAAGAGGGCACAGCTATCATTTGGAACTGTACATATAAGAAAAATGATGAAAAATACAGGCACTGCTATCCCCTTTAAATCTACACACCATATAACAGATCCAACAAAAGTTTTTTCCCCTACACTGAGAAGCATAATTAACAACACATCTGATGTAGAAGATGGCTGTTAAAAAAAAAAAAAGAAGATGGCTGTTACGCCTGACACTCTATCCCCAGTGTCCAGCATAAAGCTTGGCACATGGTAATAGTTAACAATTAGTCGATTTAATTGAACATTAATTAGATGTATACAGCAATGCTTCTGTCTCTTTTCTTCAGTTCTAATATTATTCTTACCTGGTACCGGTCATTTTTATACCGGTAATAATCTAAAATATTCTGGTCTGCATACCTGTCTACTGCTTTACCACTGCGCCACCTGGGAGTATTTTAGATAATTTTACAATGTCAGAAACAAAAGGAACAGAACTGAAATTTAGAAGATGAGTACATCACACAGTTCCAGCAGTACCATAATCAATTCCATGACACTGCATACTAATCAGGCTTCCCTGGTGGCTCAGTGGTAAAGAATCCACCTGCCAATGCAGGAGACATGGATTCAATCCCTGGGTCAAGAAGATCCCCTGAAGGAGAAAATGGCAACTCACTCCAGTATCCTTGCCTGGAGAATCCCATAGACAGAGGAGACCGGCCAGCTATAGTCATGGGGTCGCAAGGAGTCAGACACAACTTAGCAACTAGGCACACAAACATTTTAACAATCTAATTAATTCTCTGAAATAGAGGCTGAATTGGAAAGAGGCACCAAGGGGAAAATTAGTTAAAATCAGAGCATTGATAAACATTGATAAACAGCAACAAAAAATAAAAATATATGTTTATGAACCATAACTGCCACAAGAAAAATATACTAATATTGAATGCAGCAAAGGCTAGATGTCAATTTCACATTTTCCAGAGATTTATCTTTATTTTGATTTGCAGTAAAGCCCAATAGAATTCCCAGTAAAAATGTAAATGCCATACAACACTGAGGAAACTTTTCAAGTTTTGTCTATACATTCACACTGTTTCATACTTCAGATTTTCCTATTAGATTTGGGGCAGATAATGTTGTAAGGTTTTCTTGAGAGAATCTGAAAATGACTAGAGGGCAAATATTTAATACTTTTTACATTATATGATTGAGACTTCTACCTTCACCCAAAAATACCATATTAAGAAATAATAATATGGGAAATGAAGGGAGCTCAATCAGAGAGTAAGTAAGAGTTTCAAAGTGCTATTTTCCCTTAGACAAAAAAAATCAGATTAAAAAAAAAACTGCATAATGGTTGATTCCAAACATCAGAAGTTTCATATTTTCTATACAAATTCTTGGGCTTCCCTGGTGGCTCAGCTGGTAAAGAATCAACCTGCAATGTGGGGGACTTGGGTTCAATCCCTGGGTTGGGAAGATCCCCTGGATTCCAAACATCAGAAGTTTTATATTTTTTATACATATATTTATCTATCTATAAAGAGCACTATTTTTAAAAAAAAATAATTATTTAAAAGCCTTCACTAAACCCTAGTAAATAACTTGAAATAAATTTTGCATCTCATACTGCATGCATCTATACTCTATGATTAGATACATACATATAACAGGAGACCACATTTCTATGAAACACATGTAAGTAAAGGTGAAAAGGCATAGTTCTTAACAAATATTTTTGTGTATTTTTTTAGGTTTTAGGGTGGGTTTTTTTTGGCCATGCCATGTGGCATGCAAAACCTTAGTTCCCCAACCAGAGGCTGAAACTGCGCCGCCTGCACTGAGAACATGGCATCTTAACATGGCATCCCTGGAATGCCAGGGAAGTCCCTATTCTGAAACATTTAGAATTGTTTTGAAACTGCCTTCAGAACTGAAACTTTCGTGCCTTTTCTGGGGGGAGGGGGGCACACCGAGCAGCTTGCAGGATCTCAATTCACCAACCAGGGATTGAACCCGTGTGCCCTTCATGCTTTTCTTGATGGTCCTCTTTCCCAGAATTCCTGACTGCAGCTCACAGAAGGAGCTTCTGCCAATACTACTTCTGCTCCCTTGAAAATACTGAGTGAGCTTCCACCATTCTCATTATTTGTTTCTCCCAGTGGTCAGAGACTGACACCTGCTGAACAATATTCAAAAGGTGAGTTACTGTAAGTCAAAACTGGGAAATACACAAAATCCTTTCTCCCTTTTCACCTGTGATCAAATCCAGAAGACTATTTCCCTTTCACCTTATTCTGTACTTATCTCTCCATTGTAGGCATTTGTGGGCAGGTAACCATTCCCTCCCTCCTCGTCTGACAACTGAGTTATGTGTGGCAAAATTGTGACAAAATGGTTGGTGAGTTATACTGACTTGGAAATTGTCCCACAAACTCAGCTCTTTTCATAGGTAGAATTCAAGCTCTAAACTCACGGGAGAGCGGGAGTTGGTGGGAATACTAATGTTGCTAAGGGATCAATGCAGTGTTCCACAGGCCAGTTATCAGCAGAAAAGCTAAGTCTGATGGGGCTTGGGCTACTTGTTCATCCAGAACTCAATTGCTGATAAGCTTTTTGCATATATTTACTATCAGCCAAACTTCCAACAACTAAAAAAATTAGTGAAAATTTGTTCTAAAATCCTTTTTCATTTGTGCTAGCTTTGCACTTGTTCACTTTCAGATTATCTAATAAATAGCAGTTTTGTATTCAATTCTCATACTGGGGTACTGCAACATGATCACTTAAAAAAAGTACTCTTTTTGAAGATAATGAAATCTAAAAAGAATCATGGCCTGGATTTCAGCCTATAATACTTTTTGTCTCATATTAATCTTATTTGGTAGCTCAGCTGATAGAGAGTCCGCCTGCAAGGCAGCAGACGCTGGTTCGATTGCTGCGTCGGGAAGATCCCTGGAGAAGGGACAGGCCGCCCACTCCAGTATTCTTGGGCTTCCCCTGGTGGCTCAGCTGGTAAAGAATCTGCCTGCAATGAAGGAGACCTGGGTTCGATCTCTGGGTTGGGTAGATCTCCTGGAGGAGGGCATGGCAACCCACTCCAATATTCTTACCTGGAGAATCCCTATGGACAGAGGAGCCTGGTGGGCTACAGTCCATGGGGTCACAAAGAGTAGGACATGACTGAGTGACTCAGCACAGCAAGCACTTTAATATGAGATAGTCACAAACAATATACCTTAAAAGAACTGTTTCCAAATATCTAACAACACACTGCTAGTCCATTAATTAATCTTCCAAGTCATCTTTCCCTATCCTGTCAGCAATTAGGAATCCGAGGCAAGTATGAGTCCGCGCAGTTGGCAGGAAAGTGAATTTAGTTTCTGACTTGGAACAAACAATTACCTGGATACTATTTGGATACTAAGAAAACAGTTGCAAGCAACTCTCAGTTAAGCATTTTTCTTGAACAATAAATTCAGATTTCTGACAAGGAAACACTGACAATAATTCATTTCACCACATCTTCAAAGGGTTCAGGCCATTGGGCAGTACTGCAAAATGCTGGAAGACCAAAGGAGTAAGAAAAGCAGCACATGAAGAAAATGTATTTAGACCACAAGGTGATTTATCAGAACCCTTCCAATTTACATAAACTGGAAACAAGTTTTAACAAAGCTGGAAAGAACAAAGGAGAGGCAAGAGAGAACAGCATCCTTTGAGAGGAAGAGGAAAGAAGGACTCTGAAAATGTCAATGGAAAGAGAAACGAGAGAAAGTCATTAGTGTTTCTAAGCATTAGGTCCTACTTAAATTCAACTGGATTCCAGCTATTTTTGAGTACCATGTCCACATTTTATAGTTCTCCTGGCTTTTTCCTCTCTCTCAGGCACTCAGCCGTTAATTTTTGCTGCTATGATTATGCCTATCATTAACAGCTGCCCTCTTCCACTAGAAGGGGAATCTGTTGACAACTAGGAAACAAAAATGGGAAAAAACCCTAAAAACTCACACAATTAGAAGATATTAAGTCTCGCTCATGAACTGTATGACATTGCTTCTGCTGACTTAAACATCTTTTGCTTTCTGCATGATTTTGGCTATGTTCCAGATATTTGAGGTTATCATGTAAATGCCCTCTGAATACGTGATGTATATATACTTTTAAAATAATTTAAAGTATGATACAATTTCCTCATAAATCCTGTGCATAAGTCTTACAAAGTACTATGATGAACTTTCTTATAACCCATAACCAAATTCGAGAATGAATTAGTTAACTGGTTTATGGCAAAGGAACTCTGATTCATTCTGTCAAAAAGAATTAATTTTAAAATTTCATTTTCAAGATGTAGAGCTATAAGTCAGCAAATGTTATCTTCTCAAGGAAGTCTTTTCTACCCCTAAAGTTCATAGAAAAATCATAAAATTAAATCACTGGTGGGCACAAGTGGATTATAAAGCCACCTTTCTAACAATAAAACAGTTCACTATATAGTCCACAAAGACCAAGAAAATGTTAAACTTAAATATCTTATTTTGTTAAGACTAATTCACAGTACATATTTTACTAATTACATCACTTAATTTCATATTCTTTCACATAATTTTCTATGTAGTCTACATACTTATTCTATATCAGAGAGTAGATGTGATTTGATAAATTGATAATCATTTAAAAATTACTATACTTAAGACTTAGAATCTAGAATTAAGAATCTTTTATCAAACACCAAGTTACAACATTAGCAGTCTTCTTGCTCTACTATTTATATCTTCATATCAAATATACCCTATAAGGACATACATTTTCATATTTCAATAAAGCATTCTTAAACAGTAGGACATTTAATAACAAACAGTAACAAATTTCACAGTGCTCTCATATGCATTAAGTGATGATGTTTTCCCAATCAGCTCAGTAAAAGGAACATCAACCTAGATTTTTAAGAATGTTATTAGCAATACCAATCTTATTTCATTAGCCATAAAATGTTTATAACAAAGGTATGATTCAGCTAAAGCATACCTTTAAAATAAAGGGGGGATGTAACTGAAAAAAGAGTAACTTCATTCATCTGAATTGAGCATTAAACAAAATTTAAATAAACAATTTGTTCATGGCCCCAATAACACATACTTCTAAGCATATGCTTTGGAATACATGAACAGCTAGCATTTTACTAACAAATTCCAAGCCTTTTCTAGTATTAGAAAAGACTGAATGAATTCAAAATTAAATGGGGGAAATGTCATTTTCTTTTAAACAGAACTATCCTTTTTAAGTGGATTAGTCTCATTTTTTTGGTCAGTTTTTTGGTACCTTTGAAAATTCTTCAGGTTCCTTTATATCTAATGATCTTGTTGCAAATTCCAGTAGTTCTTCCGAGTTCTCCAGGGCATTATTACATTGACTAAGTTGACTCTAAAAATAAAAACAGTAATAGTAATGATAAATCATTAAAATTAATAGCAATAATCAAACAAATGTATTTTAGAGAGGTACTGAAGGTAATCACTAGTCATATATATAATAAATTTTAATTATCTTAAACCATCCAGAACAGCTTAATTGCATACAGATAAAGCTATACTCATCACTTAAAAAGAAAACAAAGCAATTATAAATAGTTGGGGGTCAAATTTATTTAAAGATTCTTCCAATTAGGGGAGTCAGAAGACTATCAATGATTTAAATTACAATATCAACATAATCCACCTGTAGACAACATCCTCTCTAATGGAGACTAAATTTCTAGATGATATTTAACTAAGCTAAAATGTATGAATCAAGTTATGGGTACATTCAGTTGAACACAATCTCAGCACTCCATTTATCACATTACTCAGGTAACACAGACTCCTAAAAAGGCTAATTGACAGCTTCCAAACGTGGATGACACAGGAGTCACAAATTCAAGCCTCTAGATTTCAAAAAAAAGGTCAAACATGAACAAAAAGTAGTAAGTAACTGTTACAGTGACGTGCTCTATTATAGTGATGTGTTAATTTCACCCAACACAATCTTTCTCATTCAGCTCTCTCCTCTCTCGGCCTCTCTCCCTCGCTTTATCATTTGTAGTTTGAAACTAAGCTATGTGAAAATATTGTTAGTGATACTTTTAAACAAAGAAACACATCTCTAAGCTTTTAAATGTATCCAAGATTCTTCTTCAGAATATTTACTAATATGTATTTATTAACATCTATTCCATATTCAAATCTACTTCATTTTCCCTTACAATACACACTAAAGATAAACTACGTATGATTAAAATAGCAGAGAAAAGCACGGGAGGGAGGTGGGAAGGCCAGAGATTAAGCAACTGAATGCTTATGAGGTATTCCACACCGGTGCTGCAAAGAAGGATCTGGGTTTAAGACAGAGCAGAAATCTGCACAAGATGAATCATGGGTGAAACTTCAGGAGATGCTGAGTTTTCCTTTTTCCTCCAATCGTGTTTTTTAAACAAATGAATTTCTTACTTATTGAAATTTATGGATACTTTATGACTAAACTAATTACCCTTAAATGATTTAAGTACAGCTGGCTCTTTAATAACAAGGAGGTTAATCCACATATGGCCTTCCCTGGTGGGAAAGAGTCAACCCTTCCCATCTGGAGTTCCGCATCCGCAGAGTCAACCAACCACAGACTGTGTGATGTTGCAGTATTTACTACTGAAAAATATCAGCATATAAGTGGATCCTCACAGTTCAAACCCATGTTGTTAACTGTAATATTACAGTTAACTCCCACTTCCTAAATATAAACAAGAAATCTCAACCAAGAAGAACGGGCAGACTTGAAAGGGTAATTCAATTAACCCTTGAAAATTGTGTGTATACAGCCTGTTTGTAAAAGAAAGAGAATATCTGTATTCCTCCACAGCTTCAGATTCCCAAAGATATCATAACCAAAATCAATACACAAAAATCAGTTGCACTTCTGTAGATGAACAATCCAAGAAGGAAATTAAGAAAACAATCCCATTTATAGTATTATCTAAAAGAATGAAATTCTTTGGAGTAAACTTAACCAAGGAGTAAAAGACCTATTCACTGAATCCTACAAAACACTGCTGAAAGAAATTAAAGACACAAATAAATGGAAAAACACAGCTTATGATTATGTATTGGAAGACTTAATATGATCAATACTATTATCCAAAGCAATCTACAAATTCAATGCAAACACTATCAAAATTTCAATGTATACCCACGTATTCTGCAGCATTACTCACAACAGCCAAGAGATGGAGGCAGCCCAAATGTCCACAGACAGATACACAGATACAGAAAATGTGGTAAATATATATAAGGGAATATTATTCAGTCAAAAGAGAAGGAGATGCTGGCACATGCTACAGAATGGATGAATTTTCAGGACATTATGCTGAGTGAAATAAGCCAGACAACAAAGGGACAAACACTGTATGATTCCACTTATACGAGACATCAAAAGTAGTCAAAATCATGAAAATACAATACAATGGTGGTTGCCAGGCAGCAGGTGAAGGGGCACGTGGAGAATTGATCAATGGGTACAGAGTTTCAGTCCTGCAACATGAACAAGTCCTAGAGACACATTACACAACAAAGTGAATATACTTAATACTACTGTATATTTAAAAACGGTTAAGAGGGTAAATCTTCAGTTTTTTATCACAGTTTTAACAAAATGATATCTATAACCAATATGAAATTAAGAATCACTCTCTTCTATAAAAGTATAGTTATACACATAAACTCACTAATTTTTGCTTTTAATAAACCAAGCATTATACAGACAAAAATTATTCATATTTAAATCATTGTATGATCTCACCTGTAACTCTTGTGATTTACGTGCTTGTTCCTGCTTGATACTATTAATCATACTTTCCTTTACCTCATCCAATATGGAGTATAAACTGTCAAATTCTTCATCTAATTCTGAAAGTATGTTAGAAGAATTTTCCTGTTTCATAAACGAATAAAACAAATTATTTTACTTAAGAGCTATTAAACACTAAAAAACTAAAAGATACAGTGCTTATTAAAGAAGAGAATAAATTCATACTATGAACTACCATAGCCTAACATCATAAAATAATTGAAATTCTAATATTTTACATAAGGATTTAAAAACAGATCAATCCAAGAAGCTGGCTGCACTAATACTTACTTCAGCAATGCAGCCTTTTATGAACTAGCCCACACCCTCTCCTCACTTTTATAAGACTGTTTCCACAGGACAAGGAGAAAGGTTGTTTTAAGGTTGTTGACTTTGTCCTGACCTTTGGGCTCTAAAGCAGACCCTAAGCCAGTGATTTACAACCTTTGGTGTGCATGAGAATCATCAGTGAAGCAGACTTTAATAAAATATTCCAGAGACTTTGATTCTGTAACTCTGAGGGATAGTTTGGGCATATAGGGCTGGGGCTGATTTTGCACAAAGTTTTAAACCTCTCAGGTTGTCTAAAACACTGCAGTTACACAAGATAAGCAGAATTAAAAGACTAAGTAATCCTTACTGGGTTCGAAGAAAGGGATCAAACACTGAATTATGGTGCCAGAAGGAACCTCAGAAATCATCTACTGAGTAGAATTTATAGTCAGACTTCTAAATTTTACAAACTACAATACAGACTTGCCCAAAGCCCCACACCTAGTTATTAGTGGCAGAACAAACACAGCATTTCAAACTGTCGCCCTCCCAGAGTTCCTCACTGCCTCATTAAGCAAGATGCTTCTATTTCAAGAAGAAACAAGAAAATATCTGTGAAACCCCTAGATAAGCAATATCCATACTTGCAACAAATATGAGGCAGAAGAAATTATCTTAAAGTATTGTTCAACACAGATGAATCATTCAACTAAGAGAAGTGAAACTGGCACTGGTTTACAGAACTAATACACACAATCTACTATAACATTACAATCCAAATTTTTGCTTATAATGTTTATAAAACCAGACATGATCTCACTAGAGGCTTACAAAAGTGGTGTTAATAAGTTTATTACTTTTTATACAGTAGTAAGAACATGATTTGGAGGAAGAAATGTGCAGTTTGGAAGGCAGAAGAACTAAGTCAAATTCCACACTAACCACTCAGTAGAAGTGTGACACTGGACAAGCCACTTAAATTCCTGGACCTCAGTTCTTCCATCTATAAAAAGGAATTTGCCTACTCTTTTCCCTCTCAATGACCAATTGGCACACCCTTAGAGTCTCCTGCCCACTACAGCTTATATTCTCATCTTCAATGACAAGCATGTAGTTTCATTCCACCTCTATTTCTTTTTCTGGATGCTAAAGTCTGAATAATTTGTCAATCAGAAAAAATAGTATGAGCTAGCTCTATCTTAAGGCATCCTTTTCCAGATTTCAAATATGATGATTCTCTTGTCCACAGACCAAGAGTTTTAGAACCACCAGTTTTGCTTATTTAAAGAAACTGAATTAGTGGATTCCAATAAAATACTTTTTGAGAAAGATAGTTAAAAGTGGTGAAGATTAGAATCAACTAACTTCAATCACAGCAAATTCAGAAGAAAAGAAAACATAAGACCATAGGTTTAACAAGCCAAGAGCCTGGCAATTAACTAGGTTGAACCAAACAAAAACCACCGGAAAGAATTCACTGTCTACAAGGGTCCTGGAAATCTTCTATTAGTATGTTTATCTTACAAAGAAATGACCCTTAAATTAATTAAGGTGCAGTCACAGAAAAGCATCACCAGCTTATCTTAAGGTCCTTTCCACAAACAACATTTGACTATTTACAGTACAGATTACCCACCTAAACCTGGGATCACTCATTTCCTTAAGTATTCCCCTCTCTTCTCACTGGGCACTTTATCTTTCATGATTTACTTTCATCTAGTTCTGCAAGTGGACGTCCTACTATTTACATTTTCCTTCTATTATTTACTGTAAAAGAAACGTTTAGCTTCCCAGTTACTTTTGGAAAGGTATGATTTGCTCTTACTTGGGATTAGAAAATACAAACATGAAATGGAAAGGAACAAAAGTGAGCATTATAATATTCCTACTAATTACTATTCCAGAGTTTTCTTCTTCCCTTACTATTTGATCTTTCTACAGAGAATCCAGGACTAGCAAATGAAGCTTTTTTTTTTTCATCTGCCATTAAAAAAACCCTGCTCTCATCTTCATTAGTTTATAATCTAGAGTTAATGGTATATATTTACACTTATGATTCCACCCAACAGTCACTCACTGTGATATAGTCACACAAATTTTTTTAAACAGGTTCATACCTGAACTCCTTTCAGTGTTTGGTTTAGTGTATCAATAAAATTCTGAATTTCATCATTTTTATTTGCCAGAGTTGAAATGATCCTTTGCAGAGCTTCCTAGGATAAAAAAAATTTTTAACATTATGATATTTTATTAAAAGAGAATTATAAACTTCAGTACAACAATTGTCTTAAAAAAAAAAATCTCTGAATATCAGAGCATAATATGTAACAAACAGGAGCAATGTAAAACTGCTCATTGTTCAAAGGCTATAATTACAAAAGGTGGCATACATACTGGTTGTTTTAAAACCTCTTATCCCTACAGTACAGCCATACCTTTCACCACCATACCTTTCACACTACAGATGATCAATATTATTTAGTCACCACCATACCTTTCACATTACAGATGACCAGCATTATTTAATATAAAGACTGTTACATTAAGTCATAAAGCCATGGCAAATGAGTAAAATCAAATTCTTAAATGATGCAAAAATATATGAAAACTTCTAATCAACAGCAGGATACAGAAGTAAAAGTTGAGACACTGAAATCTGACATTTTATTTATAAAAATTAAATCTTAGAAATATGAAAGTAGATAATAAATTTGCATTTAAAATTACATTTACCAATATAATATTGCAACTATCCTCCAATTAAAAAATTTTATAAATTACAACATTCATGGTAATATTTACAGAAGATATAGAACCATAATAAATAAGGCAGATAATTTTAGTAGCAAATACCTCAAACTTTGATAATGCTTCCTATTATAATAGAACACTTGATTATTTAATTTTCTCATATCTCTAGTTCAGTGTTGTCCAATAAAACTTCCTGCTATGATGGAAATACTCCATATGTGTCAATAAAAGTGAAAGGGAAAAAAATGCAGAAACCTAGGCCATCATTACTTAGTCATTTACTTAGTTCAGTTGATCAGTGTGTCCGACTCTTTACAACCCCACGGATGCAGCAGGCCAAGCCTCCCTGTCCATCACCAACTCCCAGAGTTTACTCAAACTCATGTCCACTGAGTCAGTGATGCCATCCAACCATCTCATCCTCTGCCGTCCCCTTCTCCTCCTGCCCTCAATCGTTCCCAGCATCAGGGTCTTTTCCAATGAGTCAGTTCTTCACATCAGGTGGCCAAAGTTATTGGAGCTTCAGCTTCAGCATCAGTCCTTCCAATGAATATTCAGGACTGATTTCCTTTAAGATGGACTGGTTGGATCTCCTTGCAGTCCAAGGGACTCTCAAGAGTCTTCTCCAACACCACAGTTCAAAAGCACCAATTCTTCAGTGCTCAGCTTTCTTTATAGTCCAACTCTCACATCCATACATGACTACTAGAAAAACCATAGCTTTGACTACACGGACCTTTGTTGGCAAAGTAATGTCTCTGCTTTTTAATATGCTGTCTAGGTTGGTCATGACTTTTCTTTCAAGGAGCAAGCATCTTTTAATTTCATGATTGTAGTCACCATCTGCAGTGATTTTGGAGCCCAAGAAAATAAAGTCAGTCACTGTTTCCACTGTTTCTCCATCTATTTGCCATGAAGTGATGGGACCGGATGCCATGATCTTAGTTTTCTGAATGTTAAGTTTTAAGCCAATTTTTCACTCTCCTCTTTCACTTTCATTAACAGGCTCTTTAGTTCTTCTTCGCTTTCCACCATAAGGGTGGTGTCATCTGCATATCTGAGGTTATTGATATTTCTCCTGTCAATCTTGATTCCAGCTTGTGCTTTATCCAGCCCAGCGTTTCTCATGATGTACTCTGCATATAAGTTAAATAAGCAGGGTGACAATATACAGCCTTGACGTACTCCTTTCCCTATTTGGAAACTACCAACACAACTGCACTCATCTCACACGCTAGTAAAGTAATGCTAAAAACTCTCGGAGCTAGCCTTCAACAATACGTGAACCGTGAACTTGCAGATGTTCAAGCTGGTTTTAGAAAGGGCAGAGGAACCAGAGATCAAATTGCCAACATCCAATGGATCATCGAAAAAGCAAGAGAGTTCCAGAAAAACATTTATTTCTGCTTTATTGACTATGCCAAAGCTTTTGACTATGTGGATCACAATAAACTGTGGGAAATTCTGAAAGAGATGGGAATACCAGACCACCTGACCTGCCTCTTAAGAAATCTGTATGTGGGTCAGGAAGCAACAGTTAGAACTGGACATGGACCAACAGACTGGCTCCAAATCTGGAAAGGAGTGCGTCACGGGCATCATTACAGTCTTTCATTTATGCTCTACATGCAGTCATCAACTACAGCAGATTTCTATCTCTAAACTAACTCTGGGTAGCCATTTCCTTCTCCAGGGAAGCTTTCCAACCCAGGGCTCGAACCCAGGTCTCCTGCATTGTGGGCAGACTCTTTACCATCTGAGCCACCAGGGAAGCCGTAAAACCCTGTAATCACTATTACCACAAGTCAGTATGATATCACAACTTACACTCTTGCAAGATGTCTTAACTGGCCTCTGACCCATTCTTTCTCCCCTGCAATCAGTTCCCTATATTGCACCTAGAGTGGTAAGTTAAGCATCACTCTTCCTGATCAATCATCTTGCCTAAATCCTTGGATAAAATTGAAATTTTTTAACATGAGCTGTTCACATGACCTTAAACATAACCTTACATAACCTGTAAGACCCTGTATGATCTCCCCACTGCCTGCCTCACCTATTTCAATTCACAGCAGACTTCCTCTCTCTTGCTCTACTCCAGTTTCAGGAGCCTGCTATGACTGTCTCTAATATGCCTGGCTTCCCACCCGGGAACCCTCACATTTATCAGCTTCTTCACTTATAACCACTGTTCTAAAACATATACATGATTTATTGTTAATACAAGTTCCAAAAAGTACAGAATGTGCCCATTCTATATATCTAGGTACACATATATGCTTGCCTCATTTCTTTTATTTCCAAAGCCTGATGGTGAAGAAGGGCAAAGACAGCTTTCAGCTGAGACTCTCTCAATCTAACAGGATGCTGACATGGATCTCTCAGACTTCATTTTAGGTTTCAAGCCTCCTATTACCCTCCAAACAATGATAGATAAAGTGATAAAAAAAGATGGATAAAGGCAGTATAAATTATCTGAAGTTTATCTAGATAACATTGAATAGAATTGATCTTAGTGGCCATGACTAAAAGTTTTAGGTGATACAGGTCTGAATATGTCCTTTGACAAACACGAATTCTGCTGGATCACAGTAAAATATATAGAACATTATGTCTTCAGAGGCAGTATGCACAGGTAATCTCTGCCATTATCCTTTGATCACAGACCACAGGCACCAGGATTTTGGAGGAAAAAAAAAACAAACCTACTCTCAGAATTAAGCCTCTCGATTACTTGACTATGGAGTTAGGCTAAGGTAACTGCCATGCTAACAAAAAGGGGTGGGGGGTTCACGCCCCAGCCAAGCACTACTGCTATGGAATGGCTCAAAGTAACCTGGGATGTACAAGGCATGAGGGACCATCTTCAAAGAACAGCTTAAAGTTATGCTCATAGTCCCTAGAAATCATGTGAAATAAAAGTGCAACCAATTGACTACACACAAAATAACAATATAACTAACACTGGCTTCCCTGGGGGCTCAGAGGGTAAAGCCTCTGCCTGCAATGTGGGAGACCCGGGTTTGATCCCTGGGTCGGGAAGATCCCCTGGAGAAGGAAATGGCAGCCCAATCCAGTACTCTTGCCTGGAGAATTCCATGGATGGAAGAGCCGGGTAGGCTATAGTCCATGGGGTCACAAAGAGTTGGACACGACTGAGCAACTTCACTACTTTATACTTTTTTTTTTTAGTTGGAGGCTAATTACTTTACAATATTGTGGTTTTTGCCATACATTGACATGAATCAGCCATGGATTTACATGTGTCCCCATCCTGAACCCCCCTCCCACCTCCCTCCCCATCTCATCCCTCTGGGTTTTCCCAGTGCACCAGCCCCGAGCACTTGTCTCATGCATCCAACCTGGACTGGCGATCTGTTTCACACTTGATAATATATATGTTTCGATGCTATTGTCTCAGATCATCCCACCCTCACCTTCTCCCATAGAGTCCAAAAGTCTGTTCTATACATCTGTGTCTCTTTTTTGTCTTGCATATAGGGTTATCGTTACCATCTTTCTAGTTCTAATGAGATGGATGAAACTGGAGCCCATTATACAGAGTGAAGTAAGCCAGAAAGATAAACACCAATACAGTATACTTTATACTCTTAAAGGCCAAGCACTTTCTTAAGCTCTTTACATAAATTTCTTTAATCCTCTCAAGAATCCTATGAGACAGGATACTTGGTTATCCCCATTTTCCAATTCAGAAGCTGAGGTATAAAGAGGGTAGGTAACTTGCCCGGGACCTCAAGAGTTAGTATGTGGCAGAGCCAGAATTCAAATCAACAACAGTCTGCCGTGAGTCTGTGCTCTTTTTCCTTTTTCCCTGAGTCTGTGCTCTTAACAATTAACACTATACTACCTGAAAACACAGGTCAGAAGTTCACGTAAAGAAGGTCAGAACAACCAAGGACACTGAAAGGACTTAAGATTGTCTTTAAAATTGCAAAAAATTAGGAATAATCAAGAGGTTGTAACCTTTGTTATAGGTTGCAACCTATGTTGCAGGAAGGTGGACCCTTCCAGGGCCCAAAACTGGGCTCTTGTCTAACACTCGGAAATGTATTGTCCGAGGAGGCACGAGCTGACAAAGCAAGAGATTTTATTGGGAAAGGGCAGCCAGGTGGAGACCAGTAGGGTAAGGGAAACCAGGAGAACTGCTCTGCCAAAAGCTCAAAGTCTCGGGTTTTATGGTGATGGGATCAGTTTCCAGGTTGTCTTTAGCCAATCATTCTGACCCAGAGTCCTTCCTGTGGTGCACGCCTTGTTCAGCCACGATGGATGCCAGAGAGGAGGAGTCTGGGAGGCGGTCGAACATGTGGTGTCTCCTTCTGACCTTTCCTGAGCTCTTCCGGTTGAAGGTGGCTTATTAGTTCCGTGTTCCTTACCACGACCTCCTGTCATAAAACAACTCGTGCAAATGGTTACTCTGGCGCCTGGCCAGCGTGGGAGTTTC